AAACAAAACCTCCTTCACAGCTCCAGCTCCTACACTCACAACCTCCGTAGCACCTTTCCTAGCTTCCTTCCTAACCTCATCCAATCTCCGCCACTCCTCCACCGCTTTCTTCCTCATCTCTTCTTCCGCATTCTTCTCCAATTTCTCCAAAATCCCATCTTCATCATCTCTATAACCATAATAGCTAGCATCTATCCTTTTGTATATATCGTACCTCGTTCTACGCTTCCTCAGCTCCGGTGGTTTCTCGAATAGCTCTCTAACTCCAGGAAGCTTCTTAGCAGCACCGAAATAGCGATACCCAGGACCACGACCACTAGGGTTCGGTACGTCGACGATGTTTCCATCTAGATCTGTCATCTTCGCCGCGTGTCTCGAGTAATTCGGACCTCCTAGCTCAACGATCCGTCGTTCCCAGTGATATTTCTCCCTGAGAAGCTTGTTAATCTCGTCGTTAAGATCGCGAAGTCGGTGCTCGCCTAATCCTTCGTTCTGAATCTCGGCTACTTTCCGACCGATCTCTCTCATGATTTGTTGCCTCCATTTGTCTGCATCCGCTAGATCACGACATTCTGATGCAAGGTAAGGTCGACGCTCCTTTGGCTTCTTCTTCTCCGATTCTTTCATGGTGATGAACCTGTTGAGCATCGACTGTGCTTTCTCTTCATTACGAGCCATCTTGGGATCTTCGAAGTTACGATTAACACTGGGAAAATCTCAAACGGAAGAAGAACTATCACAAGAAATCGATTCTTCTTCTCTCGATTTTCGCTTTGCTTAAACCCTAATTTGCAGGACTGTGAGAGGGAGAGACGAAGGGGAAAGAAGGGATTCGAAGCTGTAATATCTCCCCAATATTATATTTCGTAATTACTTAATAAATCGTCCTCTTTTAAAACGCGAAGGCCCATTTATGTTGTTTATAAAGCCCAATTTGAATAATGATTACTTGATTAGTTGAGTTTATAGAATCAACATCTAACCCAATGTGCTACTGAGAACTGAGAAGCTCAATTTGAATTTTCTGCAACTTTATTACACTCTGGATCATGCAAAAGAATTGTGAAGCATAGTAAAGAAAAGATATACCTCAGATTAGTTTTGAATTGAATAAATTGATGGTCAACGCAATTAGTGTAGCTATACAATGGTGCGATCATAGTTATCGGACTTTGAGCTACTCAAAATTCATTTCTGAGAAGTGACAATAACAATTTTTTTGTGTGAATGGAAAGATATAACGCCTCAACTATTCAGACTCTCGATTCCAAGATGAAGTCGAAGGTGCATAGTAGCAACACTTAAGCCAAATCAATAAAATCTTATCTCATACAATACTTATATTAACAATGCAAAGAGTTTCAAGGTTCTTCTTCTTCCGAGTTGTGAAAGAAGTTATAACAAAGAAGAAAAGGAATAAAGAGGCATCAATTCGATCACTCGAGCTACAAAAACAATGGAATAAACGCAAAACGAAAGCGGTTTTTGAAACGCAGACGTAAGTAAAAAACCCAGATGAGTTTGTCACACACAGGTGCATATAAACGAAAAC